CTCTGACATAGAGCTTTTTGATTATGATGTATTGGCACAAATATTCATACCCTTTCATCTTTTGTTATACCACCAGCACACTCAGAATTACTTCCATGTTGTTTTGCTACTGTGTGCTGGCACACTCATACCAACCTTCTCATGCTATTTGTCACACTGCATTGACAGACACTCCCACTGATACCTGCCTATGAAAATTTATACTTATGACTATAGTCCCTCATTTCAATCCAGCTGAGCCTGCCCCATATTTGGAATAAATATTGACACAAAAGCCTTCATTGACCTGTACAGAGATGATGGGAAGACAGATACTCTCTGATTACAATACAATAAGGAAGAGACAGCGATGGAGCATGTCCTTGGGTCTCTTGGCTTCCCTTTTATCAATATCTATGCAGTGGGAGAGGGTGGGAGTAGGACAGTAAGAAAGTGAGTATATGAGTGTGTGTTTGAAAGCATATATGAATTGGGGGAGGTGGTGAGATCAACAGACAGCCAAGTCTATGGATGCTGAGGAGCAACCCCTTTCCCAGGTTTGGGGGTGGGGTGGAAGGGTTGATCTGGGACTGAGGAAGGCTGGGTAAGGTTCTAACTGCCAGACTAAACACTGACAAGTGCTCTAATTGTTTAGGAGAGAAAGAGCTGAGAGGAGTGGGCCTATAGGGCCCAGACGTTAGGCTCTAGCTACATCTGGGGAAGCACAAGATTATCTATGATCTGGTTATTATAGCCCTCTAGAAAGATCAATTAGCTGGGTGCATACATTCTTCCCAGAAGGAGAATGGTTTGGGTCATCATCAGTTGTGGGCTGGTAGCATCTCCAATTCCCATGGGGTATGCTCTCTCAATCCCACCCTTTCCTTACAAATCCCAGAAGGATTTTCTGAAGATGAATTGTATCCCAGGCTCTGTGATCCAGTGGTATCTCTGGTTCCCATGGTGTTTGCTCCTCTCTCCCCCTTTTCGAGCAAACCCCTGAAGGATTTTGTGAAAGCGAGAGCTGAATTGCTTCCCAGGGCTTAGTGACTCAAGAAAAGGCAAGACAATGGCCCTTGAAACAAAACTCCCCCTCTCCTCCCAGTTCCTAACACAAGCAGATTAACATAATGACAAAAGGCCAGCTGCCTCTGGACCTCAAAGTTCCATTTTTGCCTTTAAAGAGAAAAAACCCCCCAAACTTCCTTGTAATGGAAAAAGAGAATTGTCTCATTTTTAACTTTTCTTTATTTTGGTGGTAAGTTTTGACATTATTTTATATATTAATATGTGATAATATTGGAGGGGGGTCCTTGTGAATGTATTATCTCAGTGAGCCCAAAATCTCTTCTTCTTTTTTTGGCTAGGCAATGGGGTTAAGTGATTTGCCCAGGGTCACACAGCTAGTAAGTGTTATGTGTCTGAGGCTGGATTTGAACTCAGGTCCTCCTGAATCCAGGGTCAGTGCTGTATCCACTGCACCACCTAGCTGGCCACAAACCTCTTCTTAATGGTCCCCAGTATATACACCATAACCATCATCCCTTACAGTCTATTCCCTTTTCCAACAGTTAACCTCACCTGACACCCCCCAGCAAGGGCCTAGGACACACAGTTACAAGCTAGCAGAACAGTTCATCCACCCCCATAGTGAATGCCCTGATTTTGAGCCATTCCTAAAATGTTCAGTGCAGCACTAGATCGCCCAGGCAGGAGGCCCAGAGAAGTATGGGAGGGACTTGCTCCCCTTTCTGGGATGTTTTCTTTTTCTTCCCATAGATTAGGATTTAGAGCTGAAAGAGATGGGAGAGACCATTGAGTATAACTGCATTGATTTACCAGGGAGGAAACAGGCCCAGAGAGGGCAATTGACTAGCAGCAGGAGCACAAAGAGTAAATAGCAAAGCCTGGATTTGAAGCCAGGTGCTTTGACTTTAAATACCTTGACCTTCAAATGGCTTCTGGAGGATACTCTGTTAACAAGTGACTGAAGGCTGAGTGGTCGCTCTTCTGGTTTGCTTCACCTCTGAGCTTGGACAGTGAAGTTCAAGTATCAGGTCATGGGTACGAGAAACCAGGACTGCAATCAGTCAGCCAGTCATTAAGCATTTATTAATCACTCACTACGTGCCAGACACTATACTAAGCTCTGAGGATACAAAGAAAGACAAAAGACAGTCCCTGACTTCAAGGAGGTCGTGATCCAATGAGAGAAAGCACCATGTAAAAAGAAGCTGAAAAGAAGGGAGGAGGAGGGGAGAAAGGTTGCCAGGGGCCAGGGCATGATGAAGTCCTGAAGCCAGGTGGGAAATGAAGAATTGTCTGCCCCAGGTCTCTTCCTTAAACAGGGGCTCTAGGAAGGGTTCTCTTCTGTCCACCGTTCACCCTCTTCAGTCAGAGGGAGGGCCGGGGGTACTAAGGAGATAGGTGCCTGTAACAAGGCTGACTCAGCCCTGCTCCTTCCCCAACCTCAAACTCTGACTCTTCTCCTCTACTCAAGTCCATCCCAATAGAAATACCCTGGTACCCACTCTAGTCAAGTAGAAATATTCTGGTACCCACTCTAGTCAAGGTACCTACTTCAAACCTGGGCCAGCTCTAGATGTAGAGAACCCTTGGGAGCAAGGGAGAGATGGCCTAGGTTTGACTACTGGGCTTTGATAGAATCCTGTTCTAGGAGGATTCTGATAAGTCTTCCCCATTCCTTGCTCCCAAACCCAGGCAAGCCTCTATGAATTCAGAATATTCAAGGATGCTTACAGCCACCCCACCTTCCCCATTTTCCTCTCTGAACAGCCTTTCTCCTTCTCCCCCCCCAAAAAAGCCCAGTCCTTATCTCCTAGAATTTTGCATAGATAGAAGTGAGGGTATGGATTATGAAGATTAGGAAGAATCATGTGGTGGGGGGGGGGGGGGAGCAGTGCTGCTGGCACTTTCCCCAACCAAATCTGTAAAATGAGGGGATTAGGCTAAAGAGAAATCAACTTGGAGTGAAGAGACTGAGTTCCAAATTCAAATCTACCACATTATGTGATCTTGAAAAAGTCACTGAGTGACTTATCATCTGTAAAATGGGGATAATAACTCTTCCAGAATCTACCACTATAACAACAATAATGTTGTTGAGTCATTTTTCAGTTGTTTCTGACTCTTTGTGACCCCATTTGGACTTTTCTTGGCAGAGGTACTGGAGTGGTTCACCATTTCCTTCTGCAGCTCATTTAACAGAGGATGAAACCGAGGCAAACAGGGTTAAGTGACTCTCCCAGGGTCATGTAGTAAGTGTCTGAGGCTAGATTTGAACTCAGGAAGAGGAGTATTCCTGATGCCCTATCCACTGTGCCACCTAGCTGCCCTAACAGTAATAATAGCTAGCATTTATCTAGCATCTCCAATATGCCAGGCACTGTGCTAAGAGCTTTGCATGTATTACCTCATTTGATCCTCACAACAACCCTGGGAGGCAGATAGGGTATTATCCCCATTTTAGAGTTGGGGAAAATGTACAATGCAGAGTTATGGGATATAAAAGACCTTAGTATAATATTAAGTGTAGGCTGTCATCTTTTAAGATCCTCTTCTGTTCTGATGTAGGCACTTTCTAGGTCTAAGGGGCTGGGGTTGGCCCTGAAGGATGGTACTTAGACTACTTGCCGAGGGCATCTGTGGTGTGATTTGAGAAGAGTGGGGCAAGAGGCTGCACACCTCTAAATTAGTGCCTGAAATGGGCTGGAATCATCATTTCATGCCATAGCTCAACATTTGCTGTGGATCAGCTCCAGATGGGTGCCAGACTCCACATGCCCCAGGGATTGCCCAGTGATTGGCATTGATCTGCAGTATTCTCCTTCCAGCACTTGGTTCTCTTTGCCTGCCCTAGGGCTCTGCAGACTTCCTCTCTTGGTGAAAGGCCTGAAGCAGACTGACAGGACCAGTGTTTCTCCACAGACTTCAGAGATGATTTGGTTCGTTGTGAATAGTGGCATTTCTCATCTACTTAAATTAAGTCAGGAGATTTCCAACCTTATATCAGGACCTCCCTCCTCTAGAAATTTCCCCAGGCCCAAGGACATGGAGATTTCAGGCTAATTATGAGGACTTAGGATCATAGAATGTCAGAACTAGAAAAAGCTTTAGAGAACATCTAATCCAACTTCCTAATTTTACAGATGAGGAAACTGAGGCCCAAAGAGGGGGCATGACTTACAAACATCAAGTTAGACTTCATCCTTTTGGTTTAAATCTGGTATGGTCAAGCATCTGTCCTAATGAAGCTCAGACATTACACTTGTCATTCAAATGATACATAATTGTGGCTTCATTTGGAGGTTTTGAAACATCTGATTTTGATTTCTACACTGTGGAGATGAACAGGGCAGTTGTCCAATTTTTTTTTTTCATTTTGTGTCCCAGCATCAAGGCTGTTTCTTCAAATTGTCACAAAGGAACCCTTCTCTCTGGAAGTCCCAAGAAGGCAGTGTCCATTCTGTATATGTTCACATATATTCCAGGTACATGCTTTAATGCCAATCAATCATCAAAGGCATTTATTAAGCTCCTATTGTATACTATGAACTGTGCTAAGTGTAGGGGATGAAAAGACCAAAATGAAACAGTTGCTGCCCTCAAGAAACTCACTTTGTACCATCAAGATACAATTTATACACTGATAAATAAATACAGTACACATACATATGTAAATATACACACATATATGTGTATACACACACACACACAAAGTAAATACAAAATTATTTGGGGCAGGGATGTGTGTGGGGAGGGAGCAGAAATGAGGCTACCCAATGGATGATGCCAGCAAGCAAATTCCAATGAGTTGCTTAGACAGCACCTTTCAGGATCCCTCCCCAGGAAAGTTTTG